GGCCTCAACCTCGAAAAGTGCCATTTCCTCTGCGAAGAAGCTGAGTATCTAGGATACCTAGTTAAAGATGGTCAAGTGAAACCAAGTCCCGGTAAATTGACAGCGATCGAGAAATTTCCAATTCCTAAGGACGTGCATCAAGTGAGACAGTTTCTAGGGCTAGCAGGACACTTCCGAAAGTTTGTGCCACAATTTACACATAGAACTAAGCCTTTGACGCAACTGTTGAAAAATCAGCAGTGGACATGGTCATCAGAACAACAAAATGCATACGAGTATCTTAAAGTATATATGACTGCAGCCCTCATACCCACTTTGTTCGACAGTCGAAGGGAAACCATCTTATATACCGATGCCAGTCGGATAGGACTAGCGGGGATATTGGTCCAGATAGAAGAGAAAGGGTGATTGGCTATTATAGCAAAACAACGTCCCCGGCTGAACAACGATATCATTCATTCGAGTTGGAGACTTTGGCCATCGTAAGATCCGTAAAACGGTTTAGCCATTATCTGTTTGGAGTAAATTTTACCATTTATACTGACTGCTCTGCTGTGAAAAACGCCATGACAAAAAATATCTCAATCGCAGAATAGGAAGATGGATCCTCGAGCTCCAAGAGTACGATTACCAGATTCTCCAGACCGGGAATTCGAATGAGTCACGTAGACGCTCTAAGTCGAAACCCGGTTATGGATCCCTCTCGAGGGGTATTTGCTACGGTCCTCCGTTAAAACGACTGGTTATTATCAGCTCAGGGGTCAGATAAAGAAATTACGAATATTAAAAATGTATTACAGTCAGGGGATCGACAGTTGAACAAATCTATATTTAATGACTTTGACCTGCGCAGAGGACTAGTACCGACGGACGGTGCATGGAAATCGAGCATTACTTCCCAAAGCATGTAGGTGGAAAGTTCTGAGATATAATCATGATGATATTGGCCACTTCGCTTTCAACAAAACTTTTGAAAGGATATCTAGCAGCTTTTGGTTTCCCAAGATGAGAAAATTTATACAAAAATATTTAAACGCCTGTATTAGCTGTATGTAGCATAAAATTCTACTAGTGAAAATATCGTCTATTGTTAGCACCGGCAAAAGTCGCAAGCTGGTTCCTAAATGGAAGGGGCCATTCAGGATTTCTAAGGTGCTAGAAAATGACCGATATGAAGTCACGGGTATTTCAGGATCGAGTAGATTGAAAGTCCCTTACACTGGCGTGTACGCGGCGGAGCATATCAAAAGGTGGATTACCTTCGCCAGTGTTCAGTCAGGTAATGGAGAGGAAAGTTACAGGCCGTCGAGATCCTTGATCTCTGGGCGCAGTTAAAATGCCGTCGAGATCTTTGATCTCTGGGCGCAGTTAAAATGCCGTCGAGATCTTTAATCTCTGGGCCCAGTTAGAATGCCTTCGAGATCTTTGATCTCTGGGCTTAATTAGAATGCCGTCGGGATCTTTAATTCCTGGGCGTTATCAGAAACCGTTGGAGATCCGGGTCTCAGGGCGTGATTAACAAACTGTCGAGATCGCTGGTCTCTGGACGTTATCAAAGCCACTAGAATTCTTGATCCCTGTGCATAATCTAGAGCCGCTGGGAGTTCAGAACTCCCTGTGCTGTGTATTGTTGTGCTATTGTTGTTTTCAACTGTATAGCCACAAGTCGACGATCATCCAGTCAGGTTGGCCGAATGTGAGCGCCTGCTACGCGCGCTAACCACAACGGGCGCCCGCCCCTGGGTTGGCCGGATACTTTTTGTGGATGATGTCGCAGTAACGGAAACGTGTAACGTATTAAGATTAGAGTAGTATGATCTTTTGTTTGTAACATTTGTGTAAATTGTATGGTGATAATTGGGAGAATAAATAAAAACGTCTTAACAAGTTCGCGAGTGTATCATTTGCAAAACTAGGAATTAGATTTTATGTCTGACATTTAATTCGCTTGATTTGTAATAGATGTCGCACTAGTAAAAATTAATTTTTGAATGGACTCGGGTTATTTTTAACGAACAGCTGTTGTATTGTGGTCAATTTGGTATAACCTGATTCTGAATTGGTAGTCATGGTTTCTGTTAATTGATACGTAAATATTTAAAGAAAGTCATGATCATTTTAGATATATTATTGTATAAAAGTATATAACTAAGGGTCGAATAACACTATACTAAAATGAGAATTAATTTCAGTAATTGATTAAGAACTTTTTAATCTTGCATAGTATCATACACAAATTGCAACAAAAATGTTGCAGTTTTTGTATGATACTATGCAAGATTAAAAAGTTCTTAGTTAATTAATGAAATTAATTATAATTTTAGCATAGTGTCATACGACCCTAACAGTGGAAATCTATACTATTTTATAATTTTAGGAAATATGAAATATAAACAATTTTTTTTTAGTTTATTTAAAACAATAATTTATAATTAATATACCTATATTAGTATGTCTACGGTTAAAGTGGATAAGAGGGAAAACATTTTTATTTTCAATTTTACTGGGAAAAGTAATTCGTAACAAAAAATATTTTGCTTTTTAATTGAATATGGTTGTTATGAAGAACTTTAATTTTATATATATACACGGTGATCAGAAATTAATAACATTGAAGAATAAACTGCTTCTGTTTTTGATAATATAAAAAAATGTTAATAAGAAAAATTGTTCATAACGGAAAGTTATGTTATAATTACGATTTGTGAATAAAGTGGCTTACTTTGGTATAAACAGAAATGAAAAAAAAATTTTTTAATAATTAAAATTAAGTAATTCTTGATAAAAAAAAGTCGCGGTTGTAAATATAAATAGAATTTTAACTGTGAATATACATAATAATGACAAAATATAAAAAATATGTACGATATACTTATTTTGTCCAAAAATTGTGTAAAGAATTATGTACAAAAGGACGATTTGAGACTACATTTTTTTTATGAGAAATATTCAGTTCACTTCACTTGAAAAAATAGTTGTAGGTACTTTAGTACCTCCAATATAAACAGAAATTCTATGGAACAGTGTAGTTTAATAAATATGTAAATAAACAAAAGTAATAAAGAAATAAATAGAATAGGTACTGTAAAACGAAAAAAATTAAAAAATCATAAAATAAAATTATTTATTTTTATTAATTTGTGCTTCTATAATTTATTGTGGATCCATACATCTTTTTCCCTGTGGAATATTTTTGTATATTATTTCAGGTTGTATACAATTTTTAAAAATTGTTCCAAATTTGTTGCCATTGATTTTTTCCATAATTCTTCATCTTTCTTAATTTGTTCTACATAGAGCGGGTTGTTTTCACCACTATAGGTATATTACGAAATAACATATATACTTCTTCCGGTTATATTTAACTGTCTCTCTATCTGAAAGTAAGAAATGAATTTTACCAGATAATATTTGTTATAAACATTAAATATAGATAATATAATTATACATTTTTACCTATTACGCTTTTGATTTACCATAATGATATATCTAGTCATATATAGGGTGCCACAATAATGCGATAAAGTTTAGTATACAGGGCTGGAAAATCCACATGGTCCATCTGCCTCTGCATGAGAGCGACAAAGTAAAGATATCCGTGCGATAGACAAGATGGCTATAGTGAAGACGTTTCCTAATCTGAATAGTCACCGCCCGTTTCGGGCTAAAAGTGGGAGTGACTATTCAGATTATGAAACTCGTCAATGTAACCATCCTTGTCTATCGCACGGATTTCTATTACTTACTTTATCGCTCTCACGTAACGGCAGATGTACCGTGGGGACTTTCCGAACCTGTATATACTAACTGCCTGTAGTAGCGATACGAAAAAATTTATTTGCTCACATTCACATTTTATTATTATTTCCATTATTCATTATTTTCAGACCGAATTAAACATTCAGAAAATCTTGTTTTAGGCCTGAAGATTTTGCCCTATACAACTATAACTGAAAATAATTATAAACTTTGTCACACTATTGGAACAGCCTGTATGTGCATTGCAACAACAATGTCATATTTTATATTACGTCTAAGTAAGCGGAAAGTCCATTGTCGCATAAGTAATTTTTGTTTTCAAATAATCAAATACAATACCTACATATTTATTTTAATACCTATTATTTACTTGAATTTATTACTAAATACAACTATGCCTAGCAAATTGTAATACTTACTCTGTTAATGTTTTTTCTTTCATAAAAAATAGTAAAGTCCACAAATAAAATATTTCGCAGCAACAACGCAGCAATAAAAGATAAAGATCCACACAAGAAATAACTACATTCGCACCTGCTCTAGTCCGAATCCATATAAGTACTAAAATGTAGAATATAATATGAAATAAAACTTTTAGTTGGTTGCAAATGTTATAAAGTACAACCACTTGCCATCCTCCTCTTATGTAAATATGTACATAATAATATGTAGAGGATAGAAAATAGAAATATTTTCAGAACAAAAAACCGGCGACCGCAAATTGGAGTTTTTATTATTTTATTACCCTTCTCTTATCGTATGCAATTATGCGATAGCAAGAGAGTGGGATGGACGTATAGGCCGGCCAACTGATCATCGTGCACGTGCACGTGCACCTGACGTACCGTCATTTTCTCATTTTTTTTAGGTGTATTTTGCCGGAATTTGAATGAATGAAATAATCGTACTATTTTTACTATAAACCTATTTCCTGTAGCGACATCTATACGAATATTGTAGTACTTTGTTAGATGAAACGGGACTTCAATTTCCGTTCTTAAATCACATCGTTTTCAGGGCAATATCAAGAAAGTGAGCAAGTGAAAGCCAAAGAGGAGGCGGAAAAGAAAGCAAAACAGGAAGCAGAGAAGAAAGAGAAAGAAGAAGCAGAAAAGAAAGCTAAAGAAGGGGCGGAAAAGAAAGCAAGAGAGGAGGCAGAAAAGAAAGCGAAAGAAGAAACAGAAAAGAAGGCAAAAAAGGAAGCAAAAAAAAGGCAAAAGAAGAAGCAGAGAGAAAAGAAAAAGAAGCGAAGAAGGAAAAAAAGGAGAAAGAAGAGAAGAAAGATGCGTTGAGATATGAAATAACATTAGACGGAGGACGGTACCGATTCAGCAACATAAAGGTAAGTAACCAAAACCTTTTTTGTTTTTAGTACTGGATAATCATTGCTCCTTTTAGGTAAATCACGAAGAGGCCTCTAAGATATGTAAGCAGTATGGACTCGAACTTATTACTATACCAAACAAAGAAAGGAATAATTTCATCTATAATTTAATTGAACTATATGGTAAATCTGGTAAGTAGCTATATCGGAATTACTTGTACAAATTAAAGGTATATTTTATATGTATCACATTACACCAGGACTTAAATGTTTATCAAATGTTTAGATGGCAAGTACTGGACGTCAGGAACAAAAAGGTCCGACGACCTGTGGATATGGGGGGATCTTCGGCCTATAACTTATTTCAATTGGGCCCCTAGTGAACCTGATAAGGATCAGTACTGCCTCCAAGTGCGAGCTACTGGCCTGTGGCATGATCAGGACTGTGACAGCAATTCTTTATTCATCTGTGAATACTCTATTCCCAGTTACAGTAATACGTATAATACATACCAGACATATCAAGCATATGTAGAACCGTATTACTCGAAATAAAAGGGTTGCTTAAACAAAGCAAAACATGTATCTAAAAGTTGAAATAAATTGTATAAAATAAAATTTCAGCGTAGTTAAATACTTTTTCCAGATTATCCCATCATTATTGGCATAAGCATTAGTTTAGTGTTGATCAAAATGTTTGCTCACATATGTTCGAAGTGCATACCATTATTTGGTGGCCTAGTTACAATAAAGGCTGCCGAGAAGTCGTAATTTGACCATCATGACTCTTGCATTTATGGTTATGTTAAGGATCAGTTATACACAAGGCGATACGACAATGCGGAAGAATTGAGAATAAATATTTCAAGTGATATACTCAATACATCCTGACATGATCAATCTAGTATTCTGCTTTTGTTTTTATATAATTAAACCATACTTCCCCTCTACAAAGTTAGTAGCCAGCGCCTTCCGGTCAATAAAAAAATGGAAACACACAACGTAGGTATTCCTTATGACGATCACATATTTTTGGCCACAACTACGTTTGTTTATATTTTTTGATCGAACCCGGGTATGTTATACTACAAACCCATAGTACTCAAGCTAAGGTCACATCGTTTAGATTTAATTCTAAAGCTTTCAAATAATCCCACACTAAGTTGTAAAATATTAAACGTATAGTATTCCATAACAGAAATAATTAACGTTTTCAGCCATAAATTTGGAGAAGCTCTTAAAATTGGAACGCTGTTATGGGTATCCACGAAATTTGTAGCGTAGCAAAAGATGTGGCATCGTATTTGAAGCTTCCAAATTGGGAAGAGTATACAGAAATTTATTAGAAACATTATCTACTAAGTTATCAAATATATTAGATTGATTTGTTTTACAAAACGCATTCAAGAATTTCTGTGAATTCGAACACCATCTGTGCAATTTTAATTTTAATAATTATAACATTTCCATAAATTCATTTTAAACTTTTACCAATGTTTCAAGCCGAATTAGTACCTAAGTTACTGTTTGTAACTCTATACATACTAATTCCTCATTGGGATGATCTCAGCACAATATGTTTTGTAAAAATAATTCACATGGATTAATTTTTTGTCGGTATATTTTCTCTATGTCCGTTATTGCCACAAATATCAAATAGTTCGGGTTGAACTGTGAGATCTTTCAACATAATATCATTTAAAGAATAACAAGTTTTTAAAGTTTTAATTGAAGTCTGAGTTTAGTAGTAGTTATTGCTTCTTTGATTACACAATGGTGAGGTACGATTTTTTTTTATCTCCTACGGTACATATTTACCGTGATTTAAAGAAATAGATTCATCTATAAATTCTTTATATTGGGAGAACAGTCTTTTCTCCCATTTTTCATCTTTTGGAGATAAAATATGTTTACTTCCAATTTCCCTTGTTGCCAGTATGAGATCATTTAAATTACAAATTACCTTTGGTAATATTTTACATGAAACGTTAAAGTTTTTATTTATCATGCATTTTAGAAATACTTGTATATTAGAAACACCTGAAATGTGAATATTTGTTTTATACGGTTTTTTATGTAGTTTAGTTTGTTAACTAAATCTTGAAATATAAATGAGGTTTAACTTCCGTTGTATAAGAGAGCTTTTGCTTGTGTTCCGTCTATTGCTATGTTACATTAGCTATCGCTAACAGTACCTGTATTCCTCTTGTATAGAGACTTGAGTCAGTACTAACGGATGAAGTTTGCGAAACTTCTTGAGACTTATTGTTTGGATTAACTTTAGGGGCTGAATTTTGTCCCACTTGATTGAGTGACATTATCTGACTTTTTTGAGTGTTCATCATCAGGGTGTAAGTGAGAATGATGGTTACCTCGACAAATTGCACATTTTCTTGACGCACAATTTTCTAGGGAATACCTTGAACCAAAACAATTTAAGCTTTTTCGAATAAACTCATATGCTTTGCGTATATCAAAATCTAGTTTTTGACCAAAGCTATTGATAAGTAATAGATCCCACTCTTTTGTATTGACTTTTAATGCTTCTAATGAATTTAAAAGTTGATTTATGTGAGTTAATAATTATCTTGTTTTAATAAGCTTATTTATTATTATTAGTTTATTATCACATCTCTCATATAATATGCCCAATGCTCTTTCATAGTTTTCCTTAACCAGTTGAAGTTTATTTATTAAATTTAATGGTTTAGCTTGTAAAGCCGATTTCAAATATACAACCTCCTGAATATCTGTTAATTGAGAATTGTTATGAACTTGTGCCGTAAATAAATCTATGAATGATTTCCATACTATTTATATTTGAGTTTTGTTCTTGGACATCAGAATATTTTTCAAAAGCTTTAATTAATGCGGTTTCTCGTATAACATATTTGTTCACATCGATATTTTGATTTTTGTTTATATTTAAAAATGTTTCGATTCTACTCTACTCTTTGGTTAATTTAAGCTTCTATATTTAGTATTTAGACTAACAAACTATTAGCTATTTAATAATTTGATAACTAGATGACAGAATTTTCTGACATTGAAATTGTCTTATTATTCAAAGGGAGCGTTTGATCTTGAGTATGAAATTATTGCACATGCGAATTCTGCAATATGGGTAACGTGAATATGCGAAAAGTGCGGAAACCTCGGGATTCCTGGATTTGAATATGAGAGAATGAAATTTTCTTTATTCATTTTAAAATAATGACTAGAAAGGTCGGCAAATTCCGCTGACACGGAGTTGACTTCGCCGATTCGTAAATATAACATTTTTTGAAACACCCTATATATAAAAGTCATCAACATCGTAACTTCATAATTATCTCTAAACCGTTCGAAATTCAACGCAATATTTTTAGAAATTCTGTGTATAAAAAGTATTTGAAAAGTTATATTTTGTTCTTATGGAAAGATTTAAAAAGAAAACTCCATAATGAAGGTATAATACGGCAATAAGTAAAAAAAAAAATTCTTAGGGACCCCGTGCGAGGTTCGAACCGTCGACCTTCAGCTTGCAATGCGTCTCTTTTACCGCTGAGCCATCATCGTCTCTAGATAGAATTTGACCGCATCGGTATTTAAACCTCCGTTCATAGGCGAAGTAAATAAAAATATTCGTAATATTAAATATTGCATTTTTCTGCCGTAAAATTTTCCGCAAAGAACTCGGAACGATATAAAACATAAAAATAATCGCCCATCGCTGTACTGGCGCCGCGGGGACGGTCGGAATCGGAAAAGTTTAATCAGTTTTGACAATTCTGACGTTTCTATAGCGGTGACAGTTTGTGTCAAAATATTCTTAATCCCGTCTTAAATTACATTTCGTAATACAAGTTGAGGGCGATATAGATGAGAGATAACGATGCCACGCGATACCTGTAAGGTGTCCCGGTAGCGTATAGGGGACGTCGTTGGGTAGAGGGAGCGGCTCGTACGCATAGAGACTCCCGACTCCCTCTCGAAACAAAGCGCAGATGCCGGCCGTACCCATCAAGGAAAATATGACTCCGCGGAAATAGCGTTTTGGGCGACATCATCCCGGCTTTACGAAAATATTGGGGTTTCGCGAGAGAGAGATGCAAAGTGCATAATCTTTTTAAAAAGCAAATTTCGGCATCAAAGAGTAAAAAATACCCTTTGAAAACGTCCCGTGGCGACGAAGAAGGGACGAAACTCGCGCATAAAAGCTGAGCAAACCCTCGATCGGTCCTCGGAAAAAAGCCTTTAGTATTTTCGACCATCAGAACGTCCGACGGTGGGCGTTCCCGTCGGGTTCTGTCTCTCTCCCACAGCGAAAATTTGCCGTTTTCGTCGAGGAGCCTCGGGAATGCGAAATTTTTTTAATTAACTTATGGAGTGACGACAATAATAA